ACAAGTTATTCCGTCATTTTTACAAACGATTGAGAAATTTTAGGGAATAGAACGTAGAAACACACCAGCCTCATAAAAATTGTTGAACGTTCATGAATTTTTTATTTTTCAGGCAAGTCGAGTTTTCTGTTAGATTTTACTTGTTCGGGGAAAATGACGTAACAAGTAGAGATCGGGGACTAATATTATTTCCAACAATATTTATATTTTTAATTTATTTCACCTCAAGGTAATCTTCATTGAATGATGTTAATTAACTAGGTACTGAGATAATAACAATTTATCAATTGACAATTCTACCTCTTAATATTACAGATTTCTAAACTATTTTTATTTCTGTCAAGTTTATTATTGATTGGAAATTTATTATTTCATTTTTTATGAATTATTATTTGTATTTATTTTAATTGTTCCATTTACTCAATCATTCAATTATTTAATTAATTTACTCTCAATATTTATTCATTTTTTCTTTCGATGAAGAAACTTGAGGAATTATTGGACCTTTCAGATTTATTTTTTTCCATTTCCATAAAACTACCGGTAAACGATTTCTTCTTCCGGATTACGTAAATTGTTCCGTCATTTTTCCTGAATATTTCTCTCTGTACGAGAGCCTTGTGGGATTGATAAAGTTTTAATGATTCCCCCGAAATGACAAATCGACACTTTTGGGGATTTAGGTATTTTTTGAGAGGGAGTGGGCGTGAAAATTATCATCGATAACAATAACGCCATTAACTCCCAACATGACGACCCACGCGTCTAAAACATGCATCGAACAATCTTGAAAACGTGTTATGCATCGGAAAATCCTTGGATCATAACAGCAATGGCCTACGCAAAGGAATAATCGCAATTCGATGATAAATAAAATGGTTGAGTCTCGATTCGATCTCGAGTTTTGGATTTTCGTATTAAAAATAGCAGATGTATTTTCCATTGAATGGTGAACGTGCAGTTTTCTCAGTATGGTACATCACCATTGCAAGATTGCAATTTGTACTCGCAAGTCCATTAGAGGTTACACGTGAATTTTATCACGAGCCTCGATCGATGCTGGATCAATCGATTGGATGATGACTCGGCGTATCCTCTCCACTTTGTTTCTCCCATTTTCTCATCACATTTTTTTTATTTACAAATTGCACACACGACTTTACCTTTTCCACTCTGGGACATAATTACCAGTGCAATTGTATCCCCTGATTTTTTCATAATTATCCTCGTATTCTTGTCATTTGGGTTATAGCAATTATTCAAAATTGAGATTGGAGACAAAATATCAGTGAGGGTGAGAATTTTTTAATGCAACGCGTGTGTTTTCACTCTTGGTGAGGTTAAATTGTGAATAACCACTTTTGTATCTGTGTCTTGGTTGTTTTTGCCAGTTTTTCTTCAGTCCTGGTTGGCGCACGACTTGAAATAATGCACGATATTTTTGTTGGGTATGAGTGAGATAGTGAAAAATCTATCGACACGTGTTGGTGTCTCACGGACACACGAGTTGAACACGATCACGAACCAATGAGCAGTCAGATATCCTCATGAAGAATCTCTCCTGAAGCATTATATCGTGGGTGCCTTGGGTTCGTGTCTCGGGGTGATCACGTTCCGCATTACGAATCTCATTTTTAGTCTCCAATGGTTCTTATTCTCCACTGGAATCTAATTGACCCCTCTTTCGACGTATCGGACGATACGTTTTACTGATGTTATTTTCATTATTTTCTGCTCTCCTTGTTTTTTTCTTTTTCGTTTAATCATTGTTTCACTGTCTCGTACACCACATCCCCAGGTGTTTTGGTATTGAGATTCGATTCGGTTTACAGTTGAACGATTTTCAACTCCTGCTGGTAGAAGATAGACGTCATATCGGCTGACCTTACCGCACATTCCACTGAATTTCATACACAAAAACATTAAAACCCAAAGTGGTATCCTCGGGGCATTGTTATTACTTTTTGAATTCACGGTATTGTTTGGATGCTCAAGGTTGATGATCGGTTATGGAGATCTGCATCGATGACACGTCAGTCAATCGAGTGATTGGTGCTCTCATTTTTTAATTACATCCACTCATTTCTCTGATAATTGGGGAGAGTTATTACCGTTATGAACGTTCATGATAACGTTTTTGTTTCATTCCTAGATCGTGACTAGATTGCGGAGAAAATAAAATGAGGGCCAAGAGGTACTCTTGACATTGCCATCGGTCTCTTAATGAATGAGAGAATGTGGAGTAATCAAGGGGCCAAATTGAGAAAGTTATTAACAAATAATAAAAAATGGGAAAAAAAATGGGTCCGGAAAAATGGGACACTCAGGGAAAGGGTTTTTAATTTAATCCCAGTCATCATTTTTTTTCCAAAAAATATTGGAGACAGTGAAAAATTCGTTTTTTACGAATTCAATTTTTTATTTAAATTACGTTATTATTTTTCCCTTTTTTTATTTGATACGTTAATGCGTGAAGTCTTGTGGTACGTTCTAACGGTAATAAATCACCAAAAGAAATGACAAAATAGAAATAAAATCTAAGAGCAGTTGATTCATTGGAATTAGGAGCAGATTGTTTGGATGAAAGGAGTCGAGAGGTGAAAGGATGATCGAACAGTCCTCTTACTGATGGTACAACTAATGGGCCCCTCATCCGTAATAATAACGCACCGAGGAAAGCCGTGGGTCCGTAATGAAAGAGAAATTCTTTCCGCGAGCGGCTTACCGATCGTCAATAAGATATATTGTTATTGGTATTAAAAAATAATGCATCAAATTGCAGGACACTTCCGTCCTTTTAATTCGACCGCAAGCAAATAATATTTATTATCTTTCACTCCATTGGAGTTACTTTCTGGTGTTTCTTCGAAGTAAACCCCCTTCACTCGATTTGGGGTCAGAAGAAATGATTTATCTACAACTTTTTGTCTGTGAAAAAGCCTTTTCTCAGGGATAGATCACTGTCACTGCATTGTAAAACAATATTCTCGCGGTCATAATGCAACATAAACGACCTCAATGAACTTACAATCCAAAGATAACGTTACACTTGCGTTGGAAATTGAAAAAAATATGTATATATCCTCCACCTGCGGTTTTTAGATTTCTACGATCTCGCGTTTCTGAATTAGCGTACAATTTCATATATCTTTATTGCTGGAGATATAACTCGTTGCATTTTTTTTTTGATGAATATGGTTGAGACGAGGGAATGCTTCAATTTGATTTTTCTGTTACGTCGAAATCACATAATCATTTGAAATTGGGACCAATTTTGAATGAGCTCGTGCAAGAAAGGATAAAATAAATCCATAAAATGGGAAAGGAATGTGGAAAAGTCAAAGTATCTAATGATAATCCGAATCGACTGGTGGAGATATGTATTCCCGGGTAAAAAAAATTTAATCGGAATATTTTTTCGAAATTTTCAAAAAATTTTTCAGATAATTTTTTTTATGAAACACAAAAAAATCGGAAAGGAAAATAGTTTCATTTTTGGGAAAGGTTTTCAAAAATTTTTCAAAGCATTTCTCAAAAATAAAATTGTTTTGTTCCCCGATTTTTTTTTTGTTTCAAAAGAAAAATTTTCCGAAGAGTTTTCCAGTAAAATTTTGATAAATTTGGAAAAAATATTTCGATTAAAATTTTTTTTTTACCCGCCTTGATAATTATCTCTTTTTGGTCATTGAAAATCGGTGAAATTGAAGATCGATTAATAATTGCCGTGAATTTCCAAACAAACTCAATAAATTTCCGATTACATTTTTTTTTACCCGGGTTGCGAGTGGGGGAATTATTATCCATCACCCGGGGGATACATCAAATCGATCATAAAGCCATCGAAGGCTGATGTCTGCCAGCGAAAAGGATTTAAATTCTGAATAGGGAGTACCGATTTCCAATAGCACATTCCAGTGGGCATTTGACGACTGGAATAGTGTCTGGATACATTGTTGACTGGTATATTCACGTGGCCCTTCCTCTTTGGGAGAACCCTGAGGCACACCCTGGGTATGCAGATGAATATAAATATGAAACACGAGATCGTTTTATGCCACCTACGAACAAACGATCATACCCTTTTTATTCATCGGTCCACGACGAGGGTGAAGCGGATGCATCGTTTTACGATCACACGAATGAGATTATATTGTTTTAAAACTGACAACAATATCCTCCCGTCCAGGTTGACTGACATTTATGAAAACTTCCCCGAGTATTTACGCCAAATGCATTTCACCCAAACAGCACATTCACGGAGAGAAGAGATAATTATTGGAAAGTGACAATTACACTTTTAATATTTCGGCTCATTACCCAGGTCTTCGGCCATTCTCAGTTCATGATTGATGGCCAAAAGGATTCCCTCATTTTTATGAGTTGGAAAATTTCCAATTAGAAAGTGCCGAAGGAAAATATCAAAATTTCCTCACTGCTCCTGAATTATAATTACTCACTACTTCGAGTTCATGAGTCATTTGTGGTCGTGTTGAAATTGAAAAATAAAATCAATTGCATGGGAGATTTATCTCGAAACAATTTTCTATGTAGATTCAATGGCGTAGAGTTGCGCAATGTAACGAGGGATCTCCCGTCCATTAATCGTTGGCTGCCTCTTCAATCACGTTTCCCTCGCATAAATTCCCTCTTTTCCTCCTGACGCCTTCCAAGATACCCCCAAAGACATCGACTGACATTTTTCCGTTTTTTCCCCTTTTTTTTCTTTTTTTCTTCTCCGTTCCTTCGTTTTTTCTCTCAACATGCACAACTTTTTCATTTCTCCTCGCATTTATGGCTCTGCGTTGGCGATGGCTCGCACACACAAGCTTTTGAAGTAGCTGAAGAGATATTATGAATACAACTTCGTCATGATTCCACGCTTGATTGTGAAACAGTACACAGTGCAATACACTGCACGTACACTAAACAATGGTGGATGCCAGCAATCAAATGTACATGCACTCGATGTATGCGAAAATGCTGTTGGGACAGACACCTACTTGGTCGTTCAATCTGCCATTGCAAGATATGATTTGACGATGACAGAGTGCCAATGCATCTAGCTCGAAACCAGTCGATAGCCGAATCATTCTGTCAGTGATTGATGGACGATCATGCAGTACCAGGTGACAATTATCTGAAACAGATATTGAAATATCAGTCGCAGTCATCGGAATTTTCCATTTTTCAACCTTCGAAATTGTTCAGCAAATAATTCCTCAGTAGGAATTATATAACATATTAAATATATATGATATAGATATTGAATTAATTATTCAATTCAATTATTTTTTAATTTTTTCATTAATATGGATGGGCAATTACATAATATGATAAATCGAATGATGAATGATTAATGATTATTTTATCAATTCGAAATTTCAAGTGGAATTTTCCAGTACTTCCAGTAAAAATTCTCCTGGAATTAGAAAAAGGGAAAATAGAACCGAAGGCCAGTCTCTTATTCTCTGACAGTTAGTCCCCAAAAAACAAAGTGTCCATCAATAGTGCCGTCGGGGCATAAATATTGTAAGTAGTTTGCTGAGAGGATGGAGTTCTCGTATGCTCTCTTGAACGAATGTGGCACGAGGACATGTGTTATTACCCGACGTCTTTTGTCACTGAAAACAACGTCCGATTCACAGGCCGAGTTACAGCCGACAATTTGTACATAAGTTAAAAAAAATAAAAAGGGAGAGACAAAAAAAAATAGAAAACGATGGATGAAAACCTGAGAAGGTGTGGTCGGAGGAAAAACTCAATCATGAAGTCTCGACGGGGAATAATGAAGTTGATGGCTTGGAGGCTGACTCTAGTGACTATGTAATGACATTTTTTCTAACTCCAGGATGTAGTTGAGTTGTTGATCACGGGGTCTTGTGCATGAAGAAGTTTAAGTGTCGTGTATGCTAGGTAATGAAGACGCAGCATCACGACGTGAGTTTCCCAGAACCCAACTCAACAATTCTCCAAGACTAAAACTCGTATTACCGTGTATCCTCTAGGCTGTTTGAGATAAAAATGAAAGCAAAAGGGTAATATGAAGGAAAAAGATGAAGATCCAATAGGCATTGATAGGAGGAGAAGGGGTGAATTACCATTCAGTGATTCCTGATGGCTTCATTATCCGTTTTATTTATTTTTCCATGTGCAAGCCCTTCGGACGTTTCAATCCGGGGCTGAGAAAAAAAATAAATAAATAAAAAATATTGAGTTTCAAATGCGCCCTGGGCTGTGGCTCATTAGAATTCTCATTGTGACATGTTTATTCTCTCAGCGGAGAAAATAAAAGAGGAAAGCCTTTCAAAATTTAATTGACTCGATGCGTGAGTCTAGTCTCCCTTGTTTATCGATGCATTCCGGTGCTATCATCGGGGATATCTGGTGGGGCTCTTGAGAGAGAAAGGGTGACAAAAATCAAACCGCTAATTGCGCACTTCGATGGACGTGCAATGTTTGAAGTGCAGAGGCTCACGTATGGGCGCTTTCACTTGCTGGGATTTTCTTTGTCGTTTGTTAACGAGCTGGCAGATTCATTGACACTTGGAGAGTTGACTTTTCAACCCAGAAAACGTTACTTCAGCATTGCGAGAATTCTTGATGGGAATTGACAAAAAATTAATGGAATATTCTATTTTTAAACACTTGAACAATCGCCAAATAATTCGCTGAAAATTTATTCAGTTTGATTGGAAATTCAGGGCAATTATTAATCGATTTCCAAAATTTCACGGATTTTCAATGACCAAAAAAAAAACATAATTATCAAGGCGGGTAAAAAAAATTTTAATCGGAATATTTTTTCCAAATTTTCAAAACATTTCTGGAAAATTTTTCTTTTGACACGAAAAAAAAATCGGGAAACAAAACAATTTTATTTTTGGGAAATGTTGTGAAATTTTTTTCAAAACCTTTCGCAACAATAAAATTGTTTTGTTATCCGATTTTTTTTGTTTCATAAAAAAAAATTCTGAAAAGTTTCCCGGAAATTTTTTGAAAATTTGGAAAAAATATTCTGATTACAATTTTTTTTTACCCGGTAATGAAGAATTCCAAATCGCAACTTCTAATTCATTAATTCTAAAATTCAAGTGTAATTTCCCAACCGCGTGCCTTGATTAATTCTCCATGCATAAAACTATCTAATAAATGATGACCATACCTAATAAATCGTGGGGCGGTGGTAAAAAGTGATTTTATGAAAGTTCAAAATATAAGTTATCGGAGAAATTGACATGATTCCCGTTATGGTAATTTCTACTTTCTACTCGTCAAATTCATAAATAAAATGACAATATTTTCCCTCTCAACGAGTAAAAGGAAATACCACCATTCCCGGATTTCCATTAAACACAAAAGAAAAACTGGGTCATGTTGGGGTATACATGAACGTTCTTTTGTGCTGATTCCGAAGAGGCAGTATTTAATCTGGGTCGTCGTAGCGGTACAATGAGATACAACCGATGGAAATACTCGAGTTTGTACTCTGAGTTGAGGTGTTCTCTCTTACAGTGTGTGGGTTGTCAACCGATTGACCGATTTAACGGTCATCACCACCGTTAAAGGCCTAGCCGGGGTATTCCAAACAAACAATCCTTTCAACAGAAACCAAAATAAATAAAAAACAAAAAAAAAACAAGGAAATAAACCGGAGGGACTTAATGAGACTTTACTGTTTCTTTCGCGGAATTTATTAATGGACCCAGCGACTTCCTGGACGATCAGTTCGATCCTCGAAAGGACAGGAGAACCCGTTCCCTGAGACTGGGTCACCCATATCCTCTCGATAGCCCCTCATTCCAATGGCATATCCGATTATTTCCGAAGTATCTGACTCAAAACATAAACTCCAAAATGCATTCACTCGAGTATTAAATGTTGGCAGCAGCAGTGACTCACCAATGCCTATAATTTTCGTTGAAAATACGTCAGTGTGATTTAAGACTCCTTCCCCAATTTTTTTTTTTTCGATTCATCCGACCTTGAAAGGGTCTTCCCGACACAACAAAATGGGGAAGCATCCTCAGCAACCTCGTAAACGTCCAATACCCAATTTTGGGATCATCTCAGCCTTGAAATTTCTCGTGAGACAAAATGCGTCCTTGTGCGTTCACAAATGCCAGCCGCTAGGATCAGGAGGGGCTTGCGAACTTGAAAATAAAGAATAAAGGTTCAGGGGCACGTGAGGCGAAAAAAAAAAATAGCACGTGGAATTAAATTGGGCGACAGGTACGATCTGGCGGCTCCTAAGAAATCGAAACCGTTGTCTTCTGGAGGAATCCACCGAGGGACGTCCCAGTTGTTCTCCCCAAATAACAGAAAAAATAAATAAACAAATAGAGAATCAACGAATGAAAAAGTCCGATCACCAGCGAGTGCATCCAGTCGGGGACATTTTTATCTCCCCATTTGACGATTTATCCCCTGAATTCAGAGATTTTTCTAGGGAGGACGTTCCATTCCCAGAATTTCAATTCCACCGATTAAAACCACGAGTTTATGGTGATGTCACATGGTTTTCTGCGATTGGGTAAATTGAGAAGAGAAATGTGACAAGGCTGTCCCATAATCTACCCAAACACTTGACGAATTAGCGTTTGGTCATCAAAAAGTACAAGTGTCAATAGATCGTGAGAAAAACTCGAGGAATCGCACACCCCGGAATGATTAAACATGTAAATATATTCAATGAAGGTGATTATATGGAGCTCCTGCAGCGAACTTGATCCAGTCTCCAGCATCAGCCTCGATTGATCAACGCAAGACCACAAATGGAGCCCCACAATTCTCCAATAATAAGAAATAAGAGCGCGTGAATATTCATTTTTATTGAAATAATTCTGCTAATCATTGAGAGATGATTACCATCTCCATGAATAACATGATTCAATTGCGAAATGGATGATGCCTGGAGTTTTAATAATAACTCTAGGTAAACCCTGAGTCCCTGGAGTATTCTGCTCATTCTCTGAGATTAGATGATGGATTAAGAAAACGAGAGTAGCCTCGCAGCCACACCACAGGATGATGAACATTTTTCTTTTTCTTCTCCTTTTTTTTTTCATAAAATCTCCATTGGTGTGCGCAATGGGGCGAGGCCGACCGCACTGGTGTCATCGAGCACTCCCTCCCACTGTTTTAATCCACCACTATTTTGTAATTCCTCGATATATAAGTTCACCGATCTCTAATCCTTACTCTCATTATGACCGAGCTGCACTGGACATTGATGGGATTGTTCAAGGATTCAGTGAATTCAGTTCATGTCATAGATGAATTTCAAGTATCCACTTACCAGCGTCAATATCAATTGCACAATTCTACAGTTGTTAAAACACCTGAGGATGCCCGTGTACACGAGTTTTATCGTTGATTTAATGGTGTGACGACATTTGGCAACTCGATGTCCGTCAAAACACACCGGAGTGGTACATCCCATACGGCCAGGTCCTTGCGTCATTCGTTCTTAGTCTCTCAGTCATTTTTTTTTCCTTCCAAAAATGGTATTAACAACCGTTGAAGGTGTTTAAATCGACGGCACACGTTTTACCAACGCACCTTTGATGTCTTGTCATTATCACCCGAGTCAATCTCTTTTTTGGAAAATCAAAGGTGTCATAATTCGAGCCACCGAAATGGTAGACACCTTGGCACTAATGTCACTGTACAGGAATTATTTCGTTTATCTTTATTTGATTCTCTGCATTATTACTTCTTGAATTGTCATGGAGAAACATTAAGGCCAATTCTAAATCACTCATACGTGAGAGCATAATTATTTCTTCTTGATTTATAATTACCGAGTGTATCCTTTACCACTCGATTTATCCAGACCACAATGTAGATCTCATGAGCTATCCCAGTAATAACCCAGATATTATGCAATAGTAAGCACCTGCAAACGTGCATCATCGCCTCGGACTCTGTCCTATTCCCACTTGTTTTTTTTTTATTACTTCTTTTTCATTTACGTCAATTATTTACGAGTTCTGACGACTCGCTCGCCGCAATCATCATTCACTTAGACTCATCTGACTCCGTTGGTCATCACCATTATCATTTTCCACTTGGTGTCCTACTCCATCCTGACATTCCTTCCCATCTGGATTTCTCGGGAGTAATTTATTTGTTCGCTGG